TGAGGGAGGACTAGTCGGTTTCCCTAGAGAGGCCTTGGTTTCCCCCAAATGTACAAAGGCGCCTCAGGACGCTGTCCAAGGACCCTTCCAGCGCTCATCTTTTTAACTATTAGAAAAAAAAAGGACTTGGAGAGGAAGTTTCCAGGGCCCGTTCCCAAGAACAGCCAGCAATGGCCAACGCAGTTGAAACCAGCTCGTTTAACTAGCTCAGGCGCCTTCTGAAGTCGAGTTTTGGAAAAGCCATTATTTTTACAACATAAACGATGACTCACATACCCGGAGGCCACCGAGCCCGGATCATGCTTTCCATGATCAACATGGCTTCGCAGGCGTTTCTGCCGAGGGTTACGGATTGATCTCATTTTTAGGTTATAAAAAGCAATCCCCTATCTGTTCCGAGGAGAGGGTTTGGCAAGTGGAGCACGTGGGGCGGCGGCGGATGTCTCGGCAAAGCCTCGCGTCTTTCTAGCGTTTCCTCCGCGGAAGGCCCGGTGGGTTTGGTATCGAAGTCCAGGGTTTGCTGCTGCGAGTGGAGCAGGAGCTTTGACCATAAGCCCAGCAGGCACTTGGGTCTTTTAGTTTTGCCATTAGGAGCCTTTGTTCATAAACCTCTTCAGTACTCAAGGGCGAGGCTTTGGTTGTTGGCGTCGCTTTTTTCCCCAAGTCCGCCCTGGTGCCGCCCTTGTCCATTCCCGGGGACCACGGTGCCATTGGCATCTCCTGCCTCCTTCCGGCAACAAGTGCCCCCTCGAGTCCCCAACTTGTATGAGAACTGGTTAGGCTCAGCCCTGGTAGCATCTTAAGTGTCCCATCTGAGCACCTCCAAACCCCAAACAAAGAAGAGGATTCTACAGAACTCTCCATAGCTCCTGCTTGGTAGCCTCAGGCAGAGGCTAAATTAGCACCTCCTTTAGAGATACAATTGACAGGATTAAAATCAACTGGTATAGAGATACATGGTTTGCCAGCAGGGGCCTCGCAGGGAAATGTGTCTGGTGAGGGGCCTAAGCCACGCTGGAGGTCTGTCTGGCGGGAGCCCAGGCACCCGCAGAGCGGGAGCAGGGAGGCGGCAGGATGAAGCTGACAGCGGAGCTGATCGAGCAGGCGGCGCAGTACACCAACGCCGTAGGGGACCTCGAGCTGGACCTGCGAGGCTATAAGATCCCCATCATCGAGAATCTGGGTGCGACCTTAGACCAGTTCGATGCCATTGACTTTTCTGACAATGAAATCCGGAAGCTGGACGGCTTCCCGCTGCTGAGAAGACTGAAGACCCTCCTGGTGAACAACAACAGGATCTGCCGACAGGATTAAAATCAACTGGTGTAGAGATATGCCGTTTGCTGGCGGGGGGCTCGCAGGGAAATGTGTCTGGTGACAGGCCTGAGCCACGCGGGGAGGTCTGTCTGGCAGGAGCCCAGGCACCCGCAGAGCGGGAGCAGGGAGGCGGCAGGATGGTGAAGCTGACAGCGGAGCTCATTGAGCAGGCGGCGCAGTACACCAACGCTGTGCGGGACCGCGAGCTGGACCTGCGGGGCTATAAGATCCCCGTCATCGAGAAACTGGGTGGGACCTTAGACCAGTTCGATGCCATTGACTTTTCTGACAATGAAATCCGGAAGCTGGACGGCTTCCCGCTGCTGAGAAGACTGAAGACCCTCCTGGTGAACAACAACAGGATCTGCCGCATCGGCGAGGCGCTGGACCAGGCCCTGGACCAGGCCCTGCCCTGCCTCACGGAGCTCGTCCTCACCAACAACAGCCTCGTGGAGCTGCGCAACCTGGACCCGCTGGCGTCGCTCAAGTCGCTGACCTACCTGAGTATTCTCAAGAACCCCGTGACCAACAAGAAGCACTACCGCCTCTATGTCATTTACAAGGTCCCCCAAGTCCGAGTGCTGGACTTCCAGAAGGTGAAGCTCAAAGAGCGTCAGGAAGCAGAGAAAATGTTCCGGGGCAAGCGGGGTGCACAGCTTGCAAAGGATATTGCCAGGAGAAGCAAAACTTTCAACCCAGGTGCTGGTCTGCCCACTGACAAGAAAAAGGGCGGCCGGTCGCCCGGGGACGTGGAGGCCATCAAGAATGCCATAGCGAACGCGTCTGCGCTGGCGGAGGTGGAGCGGCTGAAGGGCCTGCTGCAGTCCGGCCAGATCCCCGGCAGGGAGCGCCGAGCAGGTCAGAACGCACGTCTGTCTGTCCACGTCCCCCACAGTGACCCCCCGCAGTTCAGTGCCAAGACCCCAGAGCAGTGCCTCTGGCCGCCTAACAGCGCCGACCAGGCCCCAGCAAGGATGGGGAGGAGGAGATGGAGGAAGACTTAGTTGCCAACGGGTCCTGAGTGTCTGCGGGTCCCGGTGTCCACGGGGCGAGGCGCCCTGCCACCGGGGACAATGTCCTGCCTTGAACGTGGAATTAGTGTCGAGCTTCGCGGAAGGGCCCCGACTGCAGTTGTTTCTAATACACATTCTGAGATCTCAATGCCTGATTCTCACAGAGTAAAAATAGAGATGCCCACTGCCTGCTGCCTGGACTGTGCGCGCAGTGGGTGTGTGTTTAGCCATTAAGCTGGAAACGCAGGAGGCCTCGTTTTTGACTAGGCCTCCAGCCTCTGTAAAATGTTTGGATGTTTAAATCTTAATAAAATTGGGTGTTAACGGCAAAAATAAAAAATAAATAAAGTGAGCAATCAGATTAAGCTCCTCCTGCGCAGAGGTTTTGGAGCGAATTGCTCAAGGAATGACTGCACTCCTCGACTCACTTCACCATGAGACAGAGCCTTACTGATTGCTTTCTGTGGACCAGGGGCTGAATGCTCTGCAGTATAATTGCTACTTATTCAAATTATCATTATTCTTTAATGATATTTGAAGCAGGGCTAAAAATAAATAAATAAAAAGTAATACCTGCAATTGACAAAAAAAGTAGAAAACATAGAACAAAATAAAATAAAACCACCACATTCGCACTATCTCTAGATTGGCCCTGGGACATGTTGATAAATGTCTTTCTAGTCCTGTTTATTGTAAACATGGGTCTGGGCAGCACAGAGAGCTCTGCTGTCTGACTTGCTAACTTAGTATTTTTGTTAAATAATCTTAAAAGGGGAAATTATTTTTCTTTTTTAGTTTACTCAAATCCATCCAGGAAAATAGCTCTTTTATGTTAGGGATTCACATTGTAACACCATCTGTGTTCACCTCCAGGGCACAGCATTTTGTAAGAGAATTATCTTGCTATGCGGAGGCTTGTGCTGAGATTGCTGTTAGACTCAGAAATGAGCAATTCTGTGGGACAGGAATTAGGAATGGTGGGTGGAATTTGCTTATTCCCACTCTCAGAATGTCTTTGGGAACAAGGATATCTCAGGCCTAGGATGGTAGCCTTCACTACCTAAGAGGGCCACCTGTGCGTTTGTAAAACAATCCATATGCTGTCATAATATTTGCTTAGCTGACTCTATACTCTACCCTCAGGACATTTTCATATTAAATACTCAATATTTCTTATACTTGTCCTTTTCTTCTCACCTGTCCATTAACATTGATTCTCATTATGCAATCTATCAACGAGCATTTATTGAACACTGGCAGCACTGGAATTTTAAGAATGGCAATGATCATGGCACTGACAGCCTTCCCTGGAAGATGACTGAGATTAGAGAAGTGTGGTTTGGGGAGTCCATTAGCAACGGTTCTCGTTTCCTGGGTACAGTCATTTCACCTGGGAAGCTATTGTGCTGAGGCTGCACCTAACACCAGGTGAATCAGCATCTCTGAAGATGGGACACAGGCAGGTCACTTTTAAAGCTCCCCCAAGTGATTCTGATGTGTACCCAGGGTGGAGAACCCGTGCCACAGAGAAGTGATTTTCATCTAATTGGCTGTGTATTAGAATCACCTGGGGAGGTTTTAAAAAAAATCAAAATTTGTTCTGAGCCCCACCCCAGAACAAATGAGTCAGAATATGGAAAAGGAGTCTGACAACTGTATTTTTTTTCAAAGCTCCTTCAGATGATCTGATATACAGCAAGTGTTAAGAAGCATTGCTATAGGGAGAAACCAAGATGGCGGCATAGGTAAACACCAGAAATTGCTGCCTCGCACAACAACTTCAAAAATACAACT